CTGAACGTAAGAACATAAGAGGCGGCTGGCAGCCTTAAACTCGTAGTGAGGAACACAAGCCATGAGTCGGAATCATGGAGGAATCCTTTGCCACTGGGGGATAGCGCCTTGCTATGCTGCTGCTCTCTCTATGTGCATGCTGCAAAGAGAGGCAAGAGCGATAGTGTGTGTCTCAGCACATGTGCAACCAGAGGTAGGAGGCATGGCGTGGTCTCTATGCATGCACACTAGCAGCAGGGTCTTCCAAAAGGAAGCAAAAAACATATAGAGAGTGATGACCCTAACCCATGAACTGAAGCGAATGTTTACCCCATTGCCCCACCTCCAGGTATGTTCTGTGTTACCAGAAGTGTGGTCATCCAGCCACGCCCACCTTTCCCTTCTTATTCTGTTTACCTTGTTTGTTGTCAACCAGGGCTTTTTTTGTAGCAGGAACTCCTTTGCATGTTAGGCCACACACCCCTAATGTAGCCAATCCTAATGCGTTTCTGCTGTTGGGTGTGGCCTATTATGCTAATGAGTTCCTGCTGGGCGTGGCCAACTCAGGAGCCAGCCGGAACTCCGTTCCTGTGCGTTCCTGCCCCAAAAGAGCCCTGGGATTGAGCCTTGGGGGCTATGACACAAAGCAGACCATTGTGCCTTTGCAGTTACAGCTAATTATGAGCCTGTAGAAAACGGTGCTGAGGTCGACAATCCATCCACATAATCCAATACCACGGTGAGCTGTTTACCAAGTTCTGCTTCGCTCACTTTAGCAGTAATTAAATAACCACAGGAATGAAGCAGGAGACTTTTTCTCCCCCTAGCATGGAGATAAGCAGTTGGAAAAACTGAGTTCCAGGTTGATGCGTAGAGCACAGGAACAGGGGGAAAGTCCTCCCAGGTCCTTCGTCAGCTGTGCTAGAAATAAATGGTAGCTTCTTCTCTACATTTGCAGACTTATTAGTTAAATGTGGCCACATCCTGACAACGGCTTTCTGGCTCAGGCTCTGACTTTGTATCAGCCTCTCTGCTTAGGTTTAAAACAGAAACGAGGATACCTTTTTATATTTATTGTGAAACCCACTGACATATCTGTTGACAGGAGAGTGGAGAAGATGGAGAGCTTCTGGCAGGGCTCAGGAAATGTGTTCCGTGTGAAGGGAGGGAAAGGCGGGAGATGGATAGGTGAGTTGCTGATAAACGGCCCAAGACGGGCTGACATCTGTGGCAGAAAATACAAAGTGAGGGTGGGGAAATCTGGAGTGCAATAAAGTTTGAAAAGCTGGGGGCAGAATTGTTCAAGGCGTCAGTGGTGATAGCGAAAAGCTAAAACCAGACACCAAAAAAAGAAAGAAAAAGTTTGCAGGCCCAATTAAGTGTACAAGAGACAAACGACTCAGCCTCCCAACTTTTAAAAATGATTTTTAAAAAATTAAATGACAGCTCTTAGAAGAACAGGATTTCTACTATTGGTCCAGGGTCTTTTGGGGTATTAACCTGCAGCCACATTTCTTTTTTACCCAGGCTTTTAACAAAGGAGTTTGATCTTTTTAAAGTGTTTTTACATTTCGCTACTAGCCTGAGATGTGTTTTACAAAGATCTTGTAAGGCTACTAAATGAATTATGCTGTTTTCATGAGGGCGGTGGCGGTACAGTTACAGGGCTTCATGGATGATGCTTCCACGTTAGATCCCTTCCAGTCCGGCTTTCGCCCGAAACATGGGACGGAGACAGCACTGGTCGCTCTTACTGACGACCTCCAGAGGCATCTGGATTGGGGCGGTTCGGCGGTGCTGTTGTTGTTGGACCTGTTGGCTGCGTTCGACACGGTCGACCACCAGCTACTGCTTCACCGCCTCGCCGACATGGGAATTCAGGGGCTTACCTGGCAGTGGCTTGCTTCCTTTCTCCAAGGCCAGGGACAAAGGGTGACACTAGGGAGACAGCAGTCCATAAGGCACCCGCTGAAGTGTGGTGTGCCTCAGGGGGCTGTGCTGTCCCCGATGCTGTTCAATATCTATATGCGCCCCCTTGCCCAGATTGTCCGGAGACATGGGCTGGGGTGCCATCAGTACGCTGACGACACCCAGCTATCTGATGTTGGGTGGCCGGTCAGACTCTAGTCCGGAAGATATGGATCGGGCACTACCAGCCGGGTCTGGTCGGCTTAGGCTGAGCTGGCTGAAGCTGAACCCGACGAAGACGGAGGTCCTGTACGTGAATCGGAGAAGGCTGGGAGGAGAGACCCGACTCCCGACCTTCGGTGGGGCGCCATTGCTGCCAGCGCCGGAGGTTAGGAGTCTGGGAGTGCTCCTGGATTCTTCCTTAACAATGGAAGCCCAGGTGGCAGCCACTGCCAGGTCGGCCTTTTACCATCTTCGGCTGATCAGGCAGCTGGTTTCCTTCCTCAGCCACGACGACCTGGCTACGGTGACCCATGCGACGGTCACCTCGAGACTAGACTACTGTAACGCTCTCTACATGGGGCTGCCCTTGTCACAAATTCAGAAGCTGCAGCTAGTGCAGAATGCCGTGGCCAGGCTGTTGATGGGTCTTCCCAGATGGGAACACATCCAGCCTGTGCTGAAGGCGCTGCACTGGCTGCCAATAGCATACCGAATTCGCTTCAAGGTGCTGGTGCTTACCTTTAAAGCCCTATATGGCCAGGGTCTGACATACCTGCGGGACCGCCTTTCCCCATATATACCCCAAAGAGCACCGAGGTCGGGGTCCCAGAACCGACTGGCCCTACCAGGCCCCAAGGATTCCAGGCTTGCCACTACTAGAGCCAGGGCCTTTTCGATGGCGGCTCCGTACTGGTGGAATGAGCTCCCAGAGGAGATCAGGGCCCTGCGGGATCTTATGCAGTTCCGCAGGGCCTGCAAGACGGAGCTCTTCCACCAGGCTTTCAACTAGGAGCTGCCGCCCCCAACCACCAACGAGCCGGCCCGAAGTACTAACATCTGGCCGCTACCACTGTGCTCTGGAAGATCAGCTTAGCTTCTGAGGCTTGATGAGATGGGGCTAGCCAGGGCTAGCCAGGTCAGGAAAATGCTAAATTATGTATGTATGTGCTGTCAAGTCGTAACTGACTTATGGTGACCGGAGCAAGGGGCTTTCAAGGCAAGTGAGAAGCAGAGTGGGTTTTCTGCCTTCCTCTGCAGAGTCTTCCTTGGTGGTCTCTCCCGTCCAAGTACTGACTGCTTAGCATCTGAGATCAGGCTATACCATACCATTCCACATCCCCAGTGCTAAATTAGTGATGCAAAAATAACACTGAAAAATACATTCTGTTTGGGGGGGGATTAGGGTGAGGAAACAGAAAAAGGTGTGAAAATAAAGGATCGTGGGTTTGATTTGCTCAGCAGAGAAGCAAAAATGAAACAGAGAATTTGAATCTGAAATCGTCCCTCATTTCAATATGCCAGCCAGAACCATTCACATGACTTTGTCTGTAAATCCCTTTAAGCCTTGTTCCAGAAAGCACCAGCTCTCTGTCTATTTACTTACTGTGTCACTCTTACCGTCTCTGTGCCCTTTCCTCTTCATTAATTCCCTATCTGTCTTCAGCCTCTCTATGAGAATCCTTTTTGTCTTTTGCTTTCTTTTCTTCTCATTTATCAATTGTGAATATGTAGTATATTTGATTTCTGGAAACAATACACTTCTCTTTCTTGAAATGATCTGAGTTGTTTCCATTTTAAATGTCTGCTTGCTTTCCATTTTTAATAAAAATCGAACTGCAAATATGATGTTTTAACAATCAGTAGTAAAATGATGGAAAGAACAAAACAAAAGCAGCTATCTTTGAAGAAGCACAAACATTTCCTAATCACAGATAATCTTCTTACATTTAATCTGTTATTTTATATTCATATACATGGTAGCTCATTATTTATAGTGAAAGATAATACCCATAATGCACTGCAGCATCGGCATAACACACGATTCAGCACATGCTGTTCTTTAAGTTGGATGTGCTTGAATATGCTCATAGGATACCAACTTACTGGCTACCTCTCCAACATAGCACACATATGTAAGCAATTGCATATACAGGTGATCAAATTGTAATAGCCTATGCTGCCAAGGGGAGTAATTTACTGTGACACTGAACTTTTAAGTCTGGTCACACTGACTTTTCATGGACTCCGGGGCAGGGAGTCTCTGTGAATTAAGACATGGATGTCTTCCTGGATGCTTGACTTGTCTAGGCTTGGGTTATGAAATTTTCAGAGGGGTCTGAGGCCTGGCACTCTGATGTGGCTTTTTCAGTGTGCCAAGCCTAGACTTTGGTACAGAAATAACTGGATCAGATTATTCTCTAATATATACAGGACAAAGCAACACAAACAGGTCTGGATCTGTTCCAGAATGGAATAGGAGCGTCCACATATTCCTTCTCTTTGAATGCAAAATCTCACTTCAAAACGTTAAGGACGTGAGTCCATAGTTGTGCACATTAGGTCTGGTTCCGCAGGTGATAGCAGATCCGTGAGTTTAAACCTGGCTTTGCCGCAGTCACATAGAAAGGAGGGGTGGAGAGTCTGAGCTGAAAGGCAAAAGGGGTGTGCGAGTGAGGACTGAAGAACCTCACCCCCCACATCTCTCTACAGCCCCTTTCGCAGAGCATTCCTCCTGTCAGCCAAGCATACTTCTGCTACTTGATCTTGGCTGAGTTGTACATGATCTGGGAGGATCTATGGCAGGGAAGTAAAGACACAGGTGGAGAGGATTTAGACACTCCCCCAAATCCATGTACTCCATTTGCTGTTAAAATTGAACCCGCTTTGCTTTTATACATAACTGAGACAAATCTGGATTTCAAACACAGGGATCTGCTGCCATTGTGTCTGGTTTGGCTTCCAAAGAGGATATCACCACAGTTGAGTGGTAATCCGGTATCAGTTCATTCCAGCATCTTTTAGTTCATATTCAGAGAATGGGCAAGAAGAGGATATTTTCTTTTTGTTTCTTAAGTAAACTGCTATTGCCATGAGCGAGAGATAACCATCTGCTAAGTTGACCCCACCACAATCCTGCGACTGATGGCTCCAGGTAGAGTGTAGATGAAAAGCACTAGGAATATGATCAGGATAATCAGAATCAGTCCAATGATGATGTACTTCTTGTAATTTCTCCAGATGAGATGATACAAGCACTTGAAAGGATTGACAAACCAGGAGAAGGAGGTGTCAGGCCGGCTAGAGGGAGAGAGGGAGAAACCACATTTTTGTAAGATGCTTATCTGCAATGATGTTATCATTTTAAACTTTGCAAGTTGCTATCATTGAAATAGGAAACGTGTTTTAAATTTCCCCCTTATTCTTCTACACTACTCAGTAGGGTTGCCAGTCTGTGCCTGGCAAACCAATGGAAGGGTCGAGGGCGGGGACGTGTGTGCTGCTACATCATTTCCAGTAAAAATCCACAAGTGACGTAGGGTAGCTCTAGGAATCTATGGCAAAACCATAAAATTTCTGGTGATTCCTAGAGCAACCCTATGTCACAGGAAGTGTGATGCTGCCAGTTGTTAGAACAGGCCACAGGAACTGGGGAGGGGGGATTCCCTGCCCCCACCGGGGGAATGGTAATTCCAGTATTCAGCAAAGTTTGAAGCCTGCCTCCAGCCTAAGGAGACTTCCTTCAATGGAAGCTGAAGAAGAAGAACAGACTGGATTTATACCCTGCCCTTCACTACCCAAAGGAGTCTCAGAGCGGCTTACAATATCCTTTCCCTTTCCCTCCCTACAACAGACATCCTGTGAGGTAGGTGGGGCTGAGAGAGCTCTTTCGAGAACTGCCCTTGAGAGAACAGCACTGAAAGAACTTGTAACTGACCCAAGGTCAGACCAGCAGCTGCATTTGGAGGAGTGGGGAATCAAACCTGGTTCTCCCAGATTACAGTCCAGGCTCCTAACCACTACACCAAACTGGCTTGGAGAACCCTATGTTGGAGGAAGTTTTCAGATATTGCTTAGGGGAGTGGTAAAATACAAGCCAGTGTCTTAAACAATCTATTCCCTTCTCTCTGGTCATTCTTATATTTTGGGGGAATCAATCCTGTATGTCAAACATACTTCTTCCGTTCCTGTACTGCACAGATGAAAAACTGGACAGGGTGGCACCATGACTTACTTTGGCTTTTCCAAAGGTTCTGGTTCCTTCCGAGCCTTGCCTACTGGGTTCTTCTCTGCTTCCTCTGCCGTGACCAGATGAAATTCTGCTTCTACTTTGCCCTAGGTTGAGAAGATAGTCCATTTTAGTGGCTAGAATTTAAATGTAAGACGTTCTTCACCAAATGAATAATTCATTAAAATACAGGCCAGTGGGCAAGATGGATAAATACTTTATAACTTGGCTCATAACATGTAGCTTTATATTTATTGAGAATAAAACACTTAGCTGTTACTTATTAAATCTATATCCCACCTCTGTGAAATTGAATACAACATAAATGTATTGTTCAATTATACTCCTGTATTCTCTTGTCCTCCATTTTATCTTCACAACAACCCTGTGAGGTAGGTTAGGCTTGGTAGGTTAGACACCTGCCAAATAGACACCACTGAAACAGCACAGCCCTGTGCACCTGATCTTTCTGAAATAATTTTTAAAAATCTGTTCACTGTTACAGAAAGAGATGAACAGGGGTGGGTTGCCATTGCCTGCCTCTGCATAACAACCCTTAACTTCCTTGGTGGTCTCCCATCCAAATACTAACCAGAGCCAACCCTGCTTAGCTTCGGAGATCTGACAGGATCAGGCTAACCTGGGCTATCCAAGTCAGGGCAAATTACTATTACATAGTACAACAAAAGCCTAGTTAATAGAGATACAGAGAAGGCCTGTCAAGCCATTTGCTCAACAGGGCTTTTGGTGAAAGGAAAATTATGGATATCATCCCTGATAGGGCTGCTGTGAATTCCACCCCAAATGTGTTTGACAGCTGACCTTACCAGATATGAAGACATCAGTCAGCTGTGAGCCAATCACCCAGCCTGTTTGGTTCATGCCAAACAGCCACAGACACCTGCTGGACAGGTTTGCATTGGGTTTTTGCAAAACTGCATCATATGCAAAGACGTTGCCTGGTCAAACTGGTCAGCAGCTATTAGCACCACTAAGGACTACGATGAACACCAAACGGTAGGATTTTATTAAAACACAGCATTTACTGAAGACGATTCATATGTCTTGTGATTGATTTAATTGTCTGTTTAAATTCTTGTCTGGTAAGCAGAGCGGTCATGCAGCAAAGACAGGAGATGGGGTAACAGACTCAATCAGTGTCAAAGCTCAGAGGTAGAGCATCTGCTTGGCATGCAGAAGGTCCCAGGTTCAATCCCTGGCATCTCTAGTTGGAAGGATCAAGTAGTAGGTGATGTGGAAGACCTCTGAGACCCTGGAGTAGACAATGCTGACCTTGATGGACCAGTGTTCCGATTCAGTATAAGGCAGCTTCATGTGTTCATATGGGCTGTATGAGAATGCGCATGTTCAAAACCCCAACTGCGCTGCATGACATGGTTATCAATTCATTATGTATTTATTCAAAGCATTTATTAGCTGCCTTTCATCCTTATGGAGCCCAAGGCGGCTTACAAACACAGATAAAAACATGTAGGACAAAATACATTAAAAACATGAAACCAAATTTTAAAATCACTACTAATGAGTCAGGACTGCTTCTAAACTTAACCAAATTCAGTCCTAAATAAAATTGTCTTCAACCACCTCCTAAAGCTTCAAGCAGTGAGGGAGGGTGAATTACCAACTGGACAAACAGCACGGGGTGGAACAGAACCTCTGGCCTTTCCTCAGCATTACGCTCCCAATTTCCCTCAGGCCTTCTTGGGGCCGTATTACACATTGAGCGTGTCAGTGGCAGAACGTGTAGCGCACCTGTGACTCAATCTATTTTTAGGGTTTTCTCCAAACAATCATTAGAGTTAAAATTATGCCGACGCGAAAGCTTAAATCCCACAGCATTTCCACAGAGTCTGGGTATCCACATGTTCCTGCTGGCTCACTACCTCCTCTTCCTGCTGACTCACTATCTCCTCTTGCAGCTTAATTAAAATGAGATCTTTGACAATTTTTTTTTAAAAAATAACCCCCTTGAGCTAACGAGAAGAAAATTAAACAGTAGGAGATTGCGAAGTGAGAAAAGGAGTCAGGAAATTATATCCCATGTGCTTTTAAGTACGAAACAGATGCCTCAGGAAATTAACTTTTTTTCCCCACCCCTACTCTCTCTCTGCATGTAAATAAAGAGATTCTTCAGAAATTATTATTGCTGTTTGATATTCCGCAATCCTGCCTCTGCAATTGAGTTTACTGAATCCTGAGGAGATGCAAAAACAATATCAATAAGCTAAATTCGAGTCCAGTAGGACTTAGAGACTGACAAGATTTTCAGAGTATGAGCTTCCGACAGTCAAAGCTCCCTTCATCAGATATCTGGGAACTTTGACTCTTGGAAGTTCATACCTCAAAAATGTTGTTGCTCTCTAAGGTGCTACTGGACACAAATCTCATGCTCTACTGCAGACCAAGATGGCTACCCTCTGAAACTAATATCAGTCAGGTCATTAAAGTTGGGATTGTATCATGCCAGACTTTCTCTAAAAACTTGCGCCCTAGAAATATGCTTCCTTGGGGAGTTGTAAGGGACTTTATAGACTGTCTAGCCCAATCCCTGCTGTGTGTGGGAAGTCTAGTTCTAGAGACCTGGAGCATTCCTGACAGAGGGCTGCCCTGTCTGTTCTGTTTGAAGACTCTCAGAAAGGGAGAGAGAAACTGGTTCCACTTGCCCTTACCATTTGGAAATTTCTCCTCATGTTCCCCCATACAGATAATTCCCCTAATGTAGAAACCTCTGCTTCTTCTTGGCATGCTAGTTTTCTACATACAGGGAAGTTTTCCGAATGGACGAACACGAAATCATCTGAGCCCCTGCATTACAAAGTTGTACAGCTCAAACCCAAGATCACCAACTCAGTGAGAAAAACCTAGGCCTCAAAGGAACATGCTTCCTGCAACCATA